GTGTTCGACCTTGAACCGAAGTGTTTTCTACTCACTTTAGTGATCATTTGAATACGGTAAGATTCCATCGGTTCTCGAAAGGCCGAACACTTGTCTGTTTTCCTTCATTTTTAATACGATTTTATGATGTTCATAGCTACTAAATAAGGCCATGACTTAAATGTAGAGTGTATTTATATTTTACTCAATGATTACTGCCCTTGTTATGGTTGTCGTAGTAGGCTTAATCCCATTGGTAAAATACTGCTTTTCAAATTTAAATTTTATGCATAAACTGATTTAATTTTTTTCATTTTATTAAATCCTTTCTGCATCTCGAATTTTTGATTCTTATCGCTGACTTAAGAAAATTAAATAATTGTTTAGCTTTATCATCTTCCTTTATCATTTGGTCTTATGTGTATTATGAAAATTGCTTTTTACTCAATCATCAAAATTATCATTTTGATATAATGCGTGTGTTTTTAAAAAATTGTTTCATCCAAACAATAGTTAGCGTTGATGAAATATAAGAGCTACATCCAAGTTAAAATATGCTGTCCATGAATACGAAAAAACGTACTGTTCGTTATATAACCGCCACGAAGGCTTCCGCGATTTCTAATATATCAGATTTAGTACACTGTTAAATGTGTTCTAAAACGTAAAACATCACATATGTTTACGAGAATATCCGTTCGAGCCATTCAAATGTTATACCTCAAGTAAAAACTAAGAAAATGAGTGTAATCTACTATATCGATGTTAATGTATTTGAATTTTGTATGTATTAGAATTGAAGCGGAAAAATTTTTATAATGTTACATTGCGTAAGTAAGCAAAATGGCGACTTAACAAATATAACGTAAGCCTGTCTATAAAGTAAAGAAACATTATAATTGACAATGCGATGCGTCTGTACGTCGTAAAGTAAATAAATTCGATAATTTAGCATAATTAATAAACTCGCACTTACACGCTTATAAAACTATGGATATAAATATCGAGCGAACATATCGCTTATAAAACAGGTAACGCCTTAAGTTTTGCGGATATACCAGCATACCAATAACTTGATTACATCCCACTGCTGGACACAAAAATTTTGTGTGGTTGACATTTTTGTATCAAGGACAATTCTGCCTTGTACCGTCGATTCGGTCCATAGATCGTTTCTAAACAAGTAAATTTTTTTACTAACGAAAAACAAAACCGACTTCAAATATCTCGCTCTGTATTCATTTTATAATTGATTTTCAAAAGTTCCCTACGCATCTCCGGAGTCCAAGATCCAATACCAATGAAATTAATATGGGACACCATGGGAAGCACCGGGTTTTAAATAAAAAAAGAATCATCAAAATCGGTTCAATCTGTCGAAAGTTTCAAGAAGTTTTTCTTCAAGTTTCAGTTTCTTTTCAAAAAAAGAAGTTTTTTTTTATTTTTAAATAAATAAAAAAATACAGTTGAATTGAGAACCCCATCCGTTTTTCAAGTATGATAAACAGGTAACTTTTACGATATGGATAGAAATCGAGTTTTAATCCAAAGGACATAGGGAACTCGTATCCGTTAAGCCGTGTCGAGGAGTTCTATAGTCACGGAAATATTTTATTCATCTACCATGCAAGGTCAACTGTCGGCCATCGCGTTGACATTCTTAATGGCAATCTTTGACTGAACTTTACTCCGGCCCAATCATGGCGACGGCTTCGAGTAGGCGGATTGGAGTGATTGCGACAGCGTTGATGCTAAATACTTCTTGCAGTTTGAGTGTTGTTACATGTTGTTTATTTCTTCATGGAAATTTCTTTTCTTTTTTCATTGTTAGTTTTTTCACTCAAAGGAACTAAAAAAAAATTCACTACTGCTTGGACCAGCGCGTTCCGGGTTACTCGTCTAGACGCTTTAGCCACTAAGCTATGTGGTCGACATCCTCATCGCGAAATTGTCTACATCATGTCTACCTACGTTGTTTTTGTTGCAATTCTAGCAATGCTTTGTTTTATCTAATGTGCTTCCTTTACAACTAACTCACTTTTTAAATTACCTTTTTACAATGAACATTTGATAAAAGACTTTCTTCGGTGTTTTCGTCGGTGTGGCTATCAGCCGGTTAGCTCAGTGGCTAGAGCGTCAGGCCGCGAATGCCGAAGACGTGGGTTCGATTCCCACAGCGGCGACAATCTTTTCGTACTTTTTCAACAAATTTTAATGTTCAATCTTAAGTGCAGTGATTAGCACTGTAAAATATTTAAATTACTTACCTACTCTATTTAATCGTAGTTTTCTCAACAACGTACAAAAAAATTTGGTTCGTTTGGTTCGAATTAGGTTGGGATTAGATGCAAATACAAGGTGCGGTTTATTTCATGATTTGTCGTATAAATAAATGGCATTTCAACAATTGGTACTTTTAAATCACGATAGTAAATTTATAATACATTTGTCAGTTATCCGTTAATTGACGGATTAGTCTTGTTGGATTTAATTAATTTACAATTTCGATATATTGATAATATTCATATTGATAAGTCCCGTGTTGATAATTCTTATCTTGATGTTATCGAGGGGTTATTGCATTATTGCCGCTATTGTCTTTACAGTGATAGAATTAACAATGTAATGAATTGATTAATCCGCTGCGCATCCTCAACTTTGTAATATTTCGTATTACTTTAAACAAAAACTATTTGATACTAGCCACCTGCTACGAATTGGCACGGAAAGTGCTAATAAATAAATAAATAAATAAATATTTTAGGTCACATTTTTACACAGGAGGCAGGTACACTACCCACTACACCATTTGGGTCGTCAATAATAATAAAACACTGTTAATTCGAACGATACCAAGTCACAGAGGATCACCCGCTGGGCTAATCCGAGAGATTGCCAGAAATTTTCATCAAAAACGGTCAAGCCGTTTTGAAGTCCATATGGACATACACATACGTCATTAGATTAATTTGTTTTATTTTTTATTTGTAGTTAATATCAAGATATGCATAAGTTTTCTATTTGTTTTGGGTTCATGCTACTTGGCCACTATAACAAACTACTTCAAGCCAACAGGAAAAGATAACAATGCTGAATGAACATTTAAAAGTTGAATCAGAAGTGGCACTTTAACTGGAAATGAATGCACAAGGAAAATAACAGGATCAAGGAGTTTAAAATTTGTAGAAAAATTAACGAAACGGTTTCTTGTATCTTGTATTAACTGATGTTTTTGCTTTCAGTCCCGAGACTATTAAAGCTTCATCTGACGCAGAACCGGTGGGCTAGCCAGAACCCACGGGTTTGGGCCCTCCGCTGTGGGAGGGCCACGCATGTGCTCATGCGTGCGTTTAACTATGGTACGTCATCTAAGGGCCATCGAGGTCGTGGTTCGGACCGAAACCCCGATGGCCGTCGACTGTGCAATTAGCTAATCGGTGGCTGGGGGCGGTGAGAACCGCCCCGGAACGCGGGTGTACCTTCTGTACGCGTTGTGTTGGTCTCGCCGTGCTCGGAGGCGAGGGCGAACTAGTGTGTTTGTTGTTGCACTAACTGTGGGTGTAGTGTTGTCCGGTCGGACCCCCGGCAGTGGGTCCGGCATGTCTAAGTCCCCTTCCTCGACCGGGTCGATTAGGACGTTTCGCGGGCGACGCTTGTTGACGTTCGCGTTTTGGTCGGGTTGGTAATTTGCTGCGCTTACCACCAGAGGGTTGGGATGATGTTCGGCTCTATCGAAGAACCGTTTGGTCAGGTCTTTAAAAATATTCGCGAATCGTCGGAGTCTGCAATCGCTGTGCAGGTCGACGTTGCGTTGATACCACTGCGCACCGGTTGCGCGGCGGATGAACTTATTTTGTACTATTTGCAACTTGTACAAGCGAGTAGGGTGCGTGTGGGCGAAGGTCATGCATGCGTAAGACATAATAGGTCGTACGCAGGTCTTATATAATAATAATTTGTGCCTTAAGGGCATTTTCATTTTAGCGTTAGTTAAATTGTGTAGCCGGCCGGAGACGAACGCGGCTCTATTGCGAACGTTATTAATGTGCGTAGTAAATAACATACGCGAGTCGAAAGTGACTCCTAAGTATTTGAGCTTTTTCTCCCAGGGGAGCGGTTGGCCATAAAGGGATATTTGCCCCAACTTTCTGCATTGAGCGAAACGGTTTGCGCGTCCTTGTGGAGATGATTGCGAAGGCATCTGTATGGTCGTGGTGCTTACACGACTTCTCAGATAATTTTGACTCTTCCTGAGTTTGTGTAAGCTATAGTTACTCTGTTATAGTAAAGGTCCCAAAATTATAATGAATAATGACGAAAAACCTTCACAGTCGATTTAAGTAACTAAAGTTTAGTTTATCTACTAAATATTATAAAATATGAACGAACTAAAATATTAAAGAAAGGAAAAAGTTAGAAAGAAATGTATAAAAAGTAAAGTAACAGACAATACATGTCCCACTGCTGGGCAAAGGCTTCCTCTATAAAGAGGGTATCAGGACTGAGGATTGGCGGACTTCACATATCTTTGAAATATTTTTTTTTGTTATTATTTCGAAAATATACAGATTTCCTCACGATGTTTAAATTATTCAAGTTCAAAGGTCGCAAAAATGGCTTTATTGGATTTCTTGGCCAAACGGTTAGTTTTACGAAAAAAACATTTAGTAATACTAAAATTGTTCTTGCAATTTTTTCTCTAAGTTTTACCTTTGATTTACATTGATAAGGGTAGGGAGCTAATTTATATTCAAAAAATTTTTTAGTTTCAAATTTAGTCTCAAATGCCTCATAAATTTTACTCATATTAAGTACACGTCCAATAATATTCACGGACAGCGTAGTCATGCATATTATGGAGAATAAAGCTGCAGCTAACTTTCGAATGGCTTTTTCTCAGAAATGTTTAAATGTTCATTTATATTGCTACATATATTCTTATCAAAAATTATTTACGATAGAAACACGCAGACCAAAGCGCGCGCAAATACCAAAAACGCAGTGAAGCTTAGGGCGAATTAATACCGAGGGCTTCGCGGCGAAAGCGCTTTATTAATCGCTGAGCACTGCGCCCCAAAGTCGCCAATTTCCCGTGCTACGTAACCATTCGGCTGGCGGGAAAGCTCCCTCATTCGCTTGTATGTGCGCAATTTGCGCAGTTTCTCCGTCGATTGAGCTGCGCTTCTCGCAGCATTGGCGTCGCGCCGATGTTCGTTGATTGAATTTTGCCTCATTCGCGAACCGCTTCGTTCCGATGTTAAAATGTCTTGTTAACCGTTGACGATATTATTTAGCTCATAGAAATGCATTAGATCTTTCTAATATTTTATGATGTATACCGTAGACAAACGTACGTATCTATCTTAGCTAACCTGATATTTTCCCTCAGGAAATTATTAGGGCTGAATTTTCATAAAACCTTCATGCCTAGTTTTCAGTAACAACTCATGTGCCTCCCGCGTATTCGCGAAAAGCCGGGTCAATGAACTTGCACATTCTTGACCTTGCATCTCCAACAGAAAGCACGCATTTCGAGTGTTCTTCTAACGTTATAAATAACCAAAGTATGCCATTAATCTGTGGCACCTAGTTTAAGATCGGAGCACCGACAAAGGTTAGAACTGCAAAAAATTAGCGACAACAAGAGTAGCTAAAGGTAAATAATTGAGTCGTATTTAGAAAAAAAATGCCAGTCGACTTTTTGCCGTGAATGATGCAACGCCGCATAACGTGTTCGGTGGCGTCTGGCGTAACGTTGTCTCTACCGGCCGGCGGAGCTCTTGGCAAGGGGCACCGCCAGTTGCCTGCCACCTCGCTTCGGGGACGGATGTGTTCCGCCACTCGCACTGGCGCATCTGTAACGTCAACAAAACAATAACATCGCGAATATTATAGACGTGCCATTTGCGCTCCATAGAATAGATTTATAGTGATTCGACAAGATTACGTTAATCGTAAGTAGCAAACTTGATAATTAATTTTCTTCGCGTCTTGGTGTACATAACTAATTTGTGTTATAATTTCTATTACTTTTCCAAAATTCTGCACATCATTATGGTATTATAAAAGTTACTCAAATGTTAGTGTCGGGTTACAGATAACAAATCTTTGTACACACTTTCAACGAAGCTTTTTAGATTTGGTGTAAAATTATCTTGCATATAAATTTAGATAATGGATCCACAATTCATATCATTAATTATATAGAAAATTGAAGTTACGAATCTATCATACGATTCGCATAAGTAATCAAAGCGAAACGTGAATCTGTTGACCGCTAAAAAGAAAAAAAAACAACCCTTGAATAACCTAGAAATAGCTGACAAATGTCATAACCATGTGTTATTTTTATTGGTATCTGTAAAAAAAGTGAAACAGGTCCACATACTTAATTATATCATATGTTCATATACCATATAATTAACATAACTAGTATTTTTTTTCTCCGAACGAATTATAAAACTTTGAGGTTTGCTTATAAAGAATTGTCCGTGCTAACCAAATCGCTTTGAATCGAATCTGAAGATAACGTCGCTTCGAACTATTGTTTTATAAACCATGTATATTTTTAAGTACCTGGAGGACCGACCTTCTCGGTTTGTTTTTTTTTTGGTATATCGTGTATTTTGGAAATTACATTTAGATACAAATTACTTAAGTAATGAAATATGCATAATATGTTTCGATCTTACCGACGTAATAATAAGAAAATATGAACTGGTGTTTTTCACAAAAGAAAGAACTTTAAAAAAAAAAGGGAAAAAATAACAAAATAACAAATCGACAAAAAATAAAAGATAAAGAAAGCAATGATCTGAAATCGAAAAAAAGTAAAAAAAAAAGTGTGTAAATGATCGTGATACGAACCACGGCCTTCTGTTTCGTGGCTGTTTGTTAGCGGCCGCCCGATTACCGACCGAGCTATTATAACATTTTTTTTCGGTGAAATTTACCGTCGTATTCGAATGATATTTTTCATTCCCTGAAAACAGGGAGAAAAGGACATTTTCTAAAAATGAAACCTAGTCAGATCGATTTTTCGCCCCCGAATCTACGCACATACTAAATTTCATGAAAATCGCTGGAGCCGTTTCCGAGATTCCAATTTTATATATATATATATATATATATATATATATATATATATATATATATATATATATACAAGAATTGCTCGTTTAAAGGATAAGAGATATAAACCAAGTTGTTCGAGTCATGATCTGCTCGGGGGATCTCACTTATTAATAAAGAATTCACGGCCATAAAATGTGGTACAACAAATTCGGTAATTACTACAAAGTACAAAAAAAGTCATCCCACTGTCTGTATGTCCCTATACAGCGTGTCGTTACCATCACGACAATAAATGAACACACGTCTAACGCTACTTGCCAATAATCATAAAAAAATATTAACGTTAAACAAAATCCATAAATAAAAAAAAATATTTTTGAAACAAAGTAGTTAAGTAATAAAGAAACAAAATTTGTAACATCCTATACAACTCGCGTCACAACTAACAGTATGTTTTGTCTCTTTTAAATTCATTCAACCTATTCATGCTTTGTGACCTTTACAAATGAACTTTACGTTACGCTTTTATAGGTAAGGGTGTTCTAAAATTCTTTGTTTTGGAAAATTTAATAACTTTGTAAATATTGATGTTTAAAGAATTTAAATGTTTTATACAACTTTAAAAAGTTATCCCCTACATTTTTTGTCGCGAAGGTAACGACACGCTGTATATGCTTAGATCTTTAAAACTACGCAACGAATTTTGATGCGGTTTTGTTTAATAGATAAGAGTGATTCAAGAGGAAGGTTTATATGTATAATATAGTAGAGAAACACTGATAATTTTAGAGGCGATGTCGAAATCAAACATTCAGCATTGCACCCGTGCGAAGCCGGGGCGGAGCTAGATTATAATAAAGGAAACTCATCGATGCGAACCGCAACTCTATACAATTCGGATAGAACAAAAGATTTCAAGACGATATGATAGTGGGTAGTCCACCACAGTGTGCTTTTTAAGAAATTTTTAGTTGGTGGTGCTTCCGGAACGATACCACTTAGGGACCTTCAAGAAGAGTAGTTCCGCCTTAAAGACCAACCATTTATTTCGTGTTCTGAATGTTTCCGAACGCTGGTGATAATTTTCCATTAGAGGAGCCGCCTTTGCCCTTATAACCTCATTGAAAACATTTCATACTGGAAGCTCAACCCACAAATATTTAAAAAAAAAACTTTCTTATCCGCAATATCGGCAAAAAAATGAATTTAAATTTTTGGTTCTCTTTTTCCATTTTCTATTAAGAAGCTCAATTTTATTATAAATAATTCATTTATTTCAATATATGTTTGTATTCTCCAGTTCCTTTGACGGAACCGTTAATACAGAAAGAATTGCCACGACCAGTTTTCATTAAATCTTAGAACAATAATATTTTGAGTTACACTAACAATGTTTTAATTTAATTCCAAATACTGCTCAACAGGAATGATTAATATATATAAAGATCAGTTATTTGATCACTGTATGGTATGCTGGTATACACTGTACCTGTATGTTTATACAGAAAGTAATAATGCCTAATATTTAGGCATACAAATAAAACTTGATTACAAATATGTATGATGCTACACGAAGAAGCTTTAGAAATGTCGAATCTAATTTCTCCTGTACATTTACTAATCAACATCTTTCATTTACGTATTTCACGATGCCATGGAGTTTACTTGTAATCAATATCAACTTAGAAACTACTAGTGATGTACCGGATCATTAAAATTGTAGATCCGCGGATTCGGATCCGAATACGGGTCATTGGCGTCAATATCCGCGGATACGGTTACGGATCTTAACTTAATGTCCAGGAAAATCTTAAAATTAGTGTATCCACCGTCCTTGATTTTGTGTCTTTCCAGTGTCTGGGTTGAGTGGCAAATGTATAATATGTATGTTTAAGTATGTTTATCAGTTTTCTAGTACCCATAGTACAAAAGTTACTTAGTTTGGGACTAGAGAACGTAAGAAATGTATACGAAACTATTTGTATTTATTACTTTTGGGGGATACAGCTGCCAAGTTACTCTTTTTGAAGTACAATTTACCGTTCCTTTAATTGTCACTGTGTTTTTAATCAAAAGTTAACACTGAGTCTCTGTTTCACAATGTATTAATTTACTTAATTAGAATTATTATTTTCTTACGATTATAAGGGTTAAAGATACGTAAAAGATCCGTCAAAAATGTAGCCAATACGGATACGGATATCTGAACATCACTAGAAACTACTAACGCTGTATCAAGAATTGCTTCCGTGATATGGTTTACATCGATTTCCAATTCTTGCGAGACGATGATACTTGAAATTTGATTCTTTGATTGGGTTATATTAGTTACATGCTCACGAATTTTGGGTGCTTCATTCACATTTCCACCAAATTTCACCATATTTATATCAGTGTCCGGACGCTCGCTTTTAATTCAATATACTGGAGCGACCTGTGTTCGAATCCCTGTTTCGGCAGGAATGAAATTCTTAATTCAATTTCAAGTGAATGAGTTATCACGTGCACGTCGGTGAAGAAGGAAATTGTGAGGAAACCTGCATATTTTCGAATATTATTTCGGCAATAGAAAATATTTCAAAGTTATGTGAATCTGCCCTGATGTCGCATAGTGGACTATGCCTTACTCCGCAAATGTCGATGGGTGGCGCTTATCATTTAACATCAGGTGAACCGCCAGCTCGTTTGCCACCTTCTCACATAAAAAATGTATCATTTCAATGAACAATTTTATAGTTATGTGGGTATTATCTGATTTGTCAATGTAATTTACACCATGAAGCGTTCATGAAATTTTAGCTATTGACAATTTTCAAGACAAACTAAATATGTAATTAATAAAAATTGTTAAAATTTGATCTTATGCAGTTAATTCAATCACATATGTATGTAATTCTGACATATACCTGCATACAACACAGTTGGATTTATCTTAAGTGCATTATCAAAACATATACCTAAAACTATGTGGTAATGGATATTATCCGAAACTCTTGTTGTTTATCAACCTAAACTTTGGGACAGAAAAGTCTTCAAATATATTTCCTGTCAGATATTCTTTTCACTCTGAATTAAAGACCGATATCTCTTCTAGCGTGGTGCAAAGAAATAATGTGTACATAATGTTTTTAATTTAACGAAATTAATCAGCTAAAGAGGT